TATACACTGATACATGCACATGTGTACACATAAATGTATACACTGATACATGTACACACCAACATGCATGTTACACTGACACGTGCACACTGACACGTGTACACAGCAATGTATTCACTGATGCACGTACACACCGACATGCATGTTATACTGACATGTGCACAACAATACATGTGTACACACTGATGTATACACTGACGTGTGCACATGGACACACATGTATACTCTGACACATGCCCACACATCAGCCCACATGGAAGCACAGTGCACACATGGCACAGTCTTCTGGGAGATACTTGGGATCAGGGGCTGCCAGAGTCAGCCATATACAAGCCAGATGGGGCGGGCAGACATACAAGGGTGTGGCTGAGAGCCCTCACACGCTGGGGTGTGTAATGCCCCTCACGGCTAGCTGCCAGGCCCAGGAGGCCCTGACCTCTACCTTGCTGGCCCTGGCAGAGGGCTCCTCCCTCCTCGGTGGCAGAGTCATAGTTCCGTGTCCTGGGGTGGGGAGAGGTCCTAAGCATAGCGGTCTGCTGCACCTAGCCCTGCCTCACACACCTGCCCAGGTTCCTCTCAAGGGACCACGGTGGTGGCCTAGGTCCACTCCTGGAAGCCCCAAGACCCCACCCTCTGGACTGCCTGGACACCACCCTTGGCCTGAGGTTTGCAGCAGCACTCACTACACATGGCCCCCAAGCCAGTGTGCTGTCCTCCCGCAGTAGGCACTCCACAGCCTTTCCCAAAGGGGCTCCCAGGAACAGTGGAATGTTCTAGTTTGCAGAGTGGGGCTGTGGGCAGACACAAAGTTGCAGCCTGGAAGAGATGTGTCCTCTCCACAAGGGACAGAGACTGCTCTGGCCCCAGAACACTGACCTGAACCATGTCCCCAAGACAGGGGAGAGGAGGGCTCAAGCAGCACAAGAAGGAGACCAGTGCCTTTCTCTGCGGTGGCTGAGGGCACCTGGCAGGGTCACCTCACTCTGGGGCCAGGACTCTGCCCAGGTCCCCAGTGAGTGCAAAGACCAGTCCTAAGTGGAGATCAGCCTTTCCTGGGACACCAGGCTGGGCAGACACCAGGCCCTCCTCAAAAAACCCCATGCAGTCCAAACAACCAGGGACATCTAGAGGAACAGAACTGCCCACAGCCCAGCCTGTCCTAGAGCAGGGTGTGAGGTGAGGTCACTCAGCCTTCCTCAACGCTGACAGCCTCACAGAATAAAGCCCCAAAAGCTGCCTGGGTGCTGAGTGGAGGCGTCAACCCGCCCTGGAATCAAATTAATGACACAGGAGCTACTTGGTTCTGCTTCCTTGGGAAGCCACGTTTCCTTTTTAATGTTTGGCCTCCGCAACTCACAGACGGCCCACAGGCCTCAAATTAGGACACAGCTGCAGCTTAACCCAAAACACAAGGGTGCTGAGTGCAGACAACATGTGCTGCTCCAGCAACCACCCGCCCGATCCCCGCTCCCCGCTCAACCATGCTAGCAGGAGAAGAAATCTGGGAAGATGCCGTCCACCTCGTCACGCAGGGCCAGGCCTGCGCAGCCCAAGTCTGAGGCCCATGGCTCCAGGGGACTATCCTGGAGCTCCTGGCAGCCAGGCTCAGAGTCCTCCAGGAGACCTGGCTCTGTCCGGTCGAGTGGGCTGCTCCTGGCCGGTGCCCAGGTAGAGGCCCCACATCCTCTGCCATCCAGGGGCCCTGGAAAGACAGCTAGTCAGCAGAGCTCAGGGCAGCAGGGCTCCACCTCTGCCCACTCTGGAGGCTCTGCTCATCTGTGAGATGGGAACACAAACCCTGCCTCGTCCCTCTGTGCTCATCTGTGAGATGGGAACACAAACCCTGGTGCGAAGGAGGGTGGATCACCCCCAGCAACCCTGTTCCCTGGACATCTGCTGGGCCAGAGCCAGGAAGGAGCCCCCATCACTAAAACCTGAGGGACATGACTTCTAGACATATCACAGCTGGCCTCACCAATGCTAGGACACAAGTCGCACACACTATAGCCCTGTGCTGTGTACACACATTCCTGGTCACACCTGCTCGCACATCCCAGAACCCACCCCTCCAAGGTAGTCATCCTGACAACCAGGTACCAGTGGGGGAAATGGGGGGTTAGACACAGATGCCAGGACTCCAAGTCATGCAGCACACTGGGCCTTGGACTATACCCTGCCCTACAGCCTTGTGCCCTGCTCACCTAGCCACCAGTCGGGACTAGAAGTCAGGAGTAATGATGTCCCTTCCTCCGTGTCGGATCCTGACACAGACCTAGGGGTGAGAAGACCACCCACTCCAAGTGGCCTCAGGTGGACCCACTGGACCCCAAGTCCCGAAAAGATGGCACCTGAGTCAAAGAGGAATCAGGCGCTGCCCCTGCTTAACCCCTGGAGATGCTGAAGCCGCTGCTGCCCAGCACACAGGCCACCTAGCACTGCTGCCCCACCCCAGGCCGCCAGCATCTCCCCTGGTTCCTCTCCAGCCGCTGTCTCACTCCTCTCCCTCCCCTGCCCACACCCCAGCTGGTGTATGCTTGGGAAACACAAACGCATTTCACCATCAGCCAAAACAAAAGACAAGAAGACAAAAGTGCTTTCAGACACACAGCAGAGCACACCTGGTGACTCCTGACTCTAGGCAGCCACTCCCTGGCCTGGCCTGAAGTGCTGGTGTGCCTCCCACAGGTGCCCAGGAAGTAGGAACAGAGGCCTCCCACAGGTGCCCAGGAAGCAGGGACAGAGGCCTCCCACAGGTGCCCAGGAAGTAGGGACAGAGGCCTCCCACAGGTGCCCAGGAAGCAGGGACAGAGGCCACCCACAGGTGCCCAGGAAGCAGGGACAGAGGCCTCCCACAGGTGCCC